CCAGATTAAATCCTGTTTAACCCCTGATCCAGTCCGGTTTAACTCCTAATCCAGTCCTGTTTAACTCCAGATTAAATCCTGTTTAACCCCTAATCCAGTCCTGTTTAACTCCCGATCTATCCATCCATACATCCATTATCTTTACCCGCTTATTCCATTTTGGGTCACGGGGGTCGCTGGTGCCCTTGTCCAGCAATCACTGTGCGAGGGGCGGGGGACACCTGGACAGGTCTCCAGTCCATCACAGGGACACATAGAGACAAACGAGACAAACAACCATTCACTCTCTCATTCACACCTAGGGACAATTTAGAGTTACCAATCAGCCTAACATGCATGTTTTTGGTCTGTGGGAGGAAACCGGAGTACCCGGAGAAAACTCCCGATCTAGTCTTGTTTAACTCTTGATCCAGTCCTGTTTAACTCCAGATTAAATCCTGTTTAACCCCTGATCCAGTCCGGTTTAACTCCTGGTCCAGTCCTGTTTAACTCCCGATCTAGTCTTGTTTAAATCCTGATCCAGTCCTGTTTAACTCCCGATCTAGTCTTGTTTAACTCCTGATCCAGTCCTGTTTAACTCCTGATCAAATCCTGTTTAACTCCTGATCAAATCCTGTTTAACTCCTGAACTAGTCATGTTTAACTCCTGATTAAATCCTGTTTAACTCCTGATCAAATCATGTTTAACTCCTGAACTAGTCCTGTTTAACTCCTGATTAAATCCTGTTTAATTCCTGATCAAATCCTGTTTAACTCCTGATCCAGTCCTGTTTAACTCCTGATCCAGTCCTGTTTAACTCCTAATGCAGTCCTCATATCTTTATCTTAATTTTGACAGTGATCCAGACATTTCTGTAACCTGTTAAAGTGGTTCTGGATCTACAGTTCTCCAGACTTTCTGAAGGTCTTGAGTTTTTCTTTGAATTTTGGCAGATTTTTTGTCTGTTTTAGTCCTTGTTCCTAAGAATGTTCAGTTGAATGTTTTTAACTCTGACTTCATTCTGGCATGAAACGCTCCTAAACACAAACGAGATGGACCAGAGTTTTGTTGACAATCTAAAGTTTAGACGTGTTCCTTTGTTCCCAGCAGTCTGTCACAGAGACACAGTCTGTTCCCATTTCCTCTGATGAATCCATGAAAAATCTCAAAGATAGCTCACATTTAGTTCCAACAGCCGAAGAGTCAAAGAACTGTCAACTAAAAACTAGTCTCACAAATATATCAGTGGCTCCCAATTCTTTCAGGTTCTGGCCCACACAATGAGTGAATTATTTGTTGCATGTTGACCTTCTGACCCACCTTACACAGAAACAGCAGCAGCACCGGCGTCACGGAGCACTTCACAAACAGCAGGAAGTGATGTAAGAGCGCCATCATGGCGGCGGTGTTTTCAGACATGGAGATGTGCGTGTAGGCCAGCGTGATGTTGCAGACGTGTTCGGGGAGAGCGCACACGCCGTACACCACTGCCAATGCCAACAAGGTCCAGTTCAGCTGCCGCTCCACTGCCTGGTGCTGCTGGCGCTTCTGGCTGGCGGAGAGGTCGTCGTGGTTACGCTGCTTCTGGGCAGCGCTCGAGTCACTGTTGACGTTGCGGCTGGCCATCTGGCAGAGGATGGTGAAGAGGATGGGGAGGCAGAAGTAGCAGCCGAAGCACCACCACATACGGCCCTGCAGAAGAGACACGATTATCCTGCTGACCGCCTCACGCCTGAAAGATCGAGACAGCAGGACTGTCGCCTCACCTGGTGGTACCGGAGCAGCAGGGAGTGGAGGGAGTCGGGCAGGTAGAGGGACAGAGATGAGGTCAGCGTGATGCTGCAGGAGTCCACCACCCTGTCGGTGGACGGGAACACACTCGGGCTGAACTGCCACAGAAAGATTTCTGGGCTGGAGAGCAGCAGGGCGGAGAGCCACACCATCAACAGCTTGGTCAGCACCGAGTGGCAGCGCTCCACCTGCCGAGCCTTCGGCTGGGCGGAGGAGGTGGCAGCGTGGAAACGACCAATACCCAGAGCGCACAGAGTGAAGGAGGTGATGCCGAGAGACGTGACCTGTAGAGACGAGACGAAGGACACCAGCGTTAGAATCAAGTCGACAAGTCTGAGGGGTTCCTGGACAACCTGGGAGGGACGTGAAGGAATGGCTTTTCATGTATTCGTCCTCACTCATGTTGTGTTTTATCAAATAAAACCAAACTGGAAAGCAGCGTTTGCTGCTCTGAAGCGTCCAGGTGTGCGTCAACACAACGTCAAAGCGAAAAGACATCAGCAATGACCTCGGAGAAGCAGCTGCTGCTGCCCGTCAATCTGGAAAAAGTCAAAGGTCATTTAGAGTCCATCGTTCTACAGAAAGATTCTTCACCAGAGGAGAACCGTTCAG